ATGGCTGCTGTGATTCCTGAAAAGGTGCATTTTGCACCAGGCTCTGAGGCTTTACGAGTGTCCGAGGAGCTGAGCAAGGAACCGTCCCTGATTTCTGTAGCTTTGAGGCATTATAAGGCACGTGCGACCCATAATCGAGGTTTTGCCTGTAATTATGTTCGTGTGGCTCAATCTGAGGCCGGCTTGAACATGGTGATCGACCCAACAGGCAAGCTGCTGACAAAGAGGAAAGTGGTGTCACGAAAGGATGTCATCGCGAATCCACGAGTGCCTCATCTGAACATATTTGCGTGCACATGTCTGTGAGCATATAGATCATTCAAAGCTTGTTGCTCAAAATATATAAGGTCGTGGCAGCAGCTGTTCGAGGACAGATGAAGTCTCGCAAACGGCAATCTGCGTATATCTACAGCGACGCGATATTGCACTTTGTCAACAACGAGCGGATCTTGCCGAAGGGCGTGCTCATCACTGCGCCGTCGGTTCAGAACTGGGCTTGTCGGACTGGACAAGCAATCCGGAAGCTTGTGGCTGGTCTGAAAAACTAGAGTGGGATTTGGACCGGTGGAAATGGCTTCCTTTGTTAGCTGTAGCTAAGGTGACCAAGTTCAAGCACCTTGCCCGTCGGGCAAGGAGTTCGCATCAGTCCCAGCTCCGGGAATTGAAGGCTGAGCTGGCTGCATACCTGGATGGTGAGTCTGGGCTTATCTGGGCTTGTGAAGGTTTGCAATTCTTAGGTTTGCACTTGAGCCACAAAGAGACATGCCAATCCAGCATGCAAGGATTCTGACTCGGAGAGTGAGCAGGAGGAGGAGAGCCAATCACCTGAAGATGAAGATGCCGCTCTATCTACTTTGGCGGACCATGATGATGCTGCATCTTTCCTGTGTTTGTTCATTGGGATGTCCCTTGTGTTGCCAGTTGCAATTACCTAAACCCTAAACCCTATAAGTGTCTAGACTCAGACGTGCTCGAGTTAGTGCAAGGCTGAAACATCCAGCTCGGTGGTGACCCCGCCTGCATTGAATGGTCAGATGCAGAGCCTTTTCATGGAATAGTGGGTTTTCGGGTGCTGAGTGCATACATGCTGCCTTGAACAGTTCGTTTCTTGTCTGAGTCAGTTTGAACAATGCTGTGTCCGAGGATGGTCTTGGCCAGGCTGCAAGCCAGTCGCGAGACATTTCGTTCAGCATCAACGACAGAAGCTACGGAACCCAAGGAAAAACCGAAGAATAAGAAGCCCAAGAAGGGTGTCCAGAAGGAGATTGAGGAGAAACTGCTTCCGGAGAAGGCTTTTTGTCTGATGTCTATTCAGTGTTGGTGGGTATGCCTGTCGTGGCTTCAACTTGATGAACATATGGACTGCAGGTTCTGGATAGCCTTCGGGGTTTGATACCTTCGGAGCCCGCAAAGCCGTTCCTGCCCAGTGCACAGTTGCTTGGTTGCATTTTGAATGTGGTTGTGCTCCATGTCAATTACACAAACGGTGTTCGGTGCGCTTGGGCTGTCGCTCTGCAATCGAGGTGGGCCAAAGATGATGAGGTCGGTGCCAAGCCCGATGAGGAGGATGGGGAGAGTCATCAGAAACAGACGAAGAAGGCCAAAACCAAAGCCTCAAAAAAAAAGCAGGGCTCAGGCAACAAGAAGAAGGCAGAAACCTCCAAAGGTTCCCCAGCCTCAAAGGATCAGGCCCAGCAAGAGCAGAAGAAGGAGAAGAAGGAGCAAAAAGCTCCGAGCACAGATGAGAAGAATGAGGAGACTTTTGCCATGCGGCGCATGCAGAGAACGATGACTGAGGATTGTGCATATGTGCCTGGATC